GATGATAGGTAGATGATAGATTAGATAGATATAGATAGATGATAGATTAGATAGATAGATAGATAGATAGATAGATAGATAGATAGATAGATGATAGATATAGATAGATGATAGGTAGATATAGATAAATAATCTTAAATTTTTCTTTTCCTCTCTGTATGAGTGAAATTTTGAAGGGTACATAATTTTATAAAATATTATTCAGTGCACAGAATACTATTGCAATCCAACAGTAAAAATTCAAAGTTTATCACCATTTATCGACTTTACATAATCATTAATTTTATCATTTAATTGTACGCCACCTCGTCATGCTATTGAGCTTCTGGTCTTTACAAACAAATATAAAGCACCTGGTAGCAGACTCCATACTTCTGTTTATACCTCTGTGCTGCAGCCAGATAGATACAGAGATAGACACGGAGATATAAAGATGGATGACACATATTCTCCCATATACGTCATAGTGAGTTCAAGAAATACTCTTTGAATGAATAATATGTATATGATTTATGTATACACAAAATGTTTTTAGAGGAATTTCCAGAAATATCCCTAAGGAGTAAGGAATGAGGTGTGTGGGGGGGTGATAGAAATTTCTACTTATTACTTTGTACTGTTCTCTATTCATTGAGATTTTGCCATGACCAAGTATTATTTTATGACTACTTTTAAAAACTAATTAAAATTTTCCAAACAATTTAAAAGGCTCAGAGAAGGAAGGAGAAACTAATGCTGTAGGCAACAACTGTAAGAACTCCAAAGGAAAGCCTAGAACTGTTTCCTAAATCCTCAGACCATATAAGAGCCATGAAAGGGTCATTCCGTATCCACTTACGTGCCCAGGAAGACATCTTTTGCCTCTTTGTAGTTTTTGCAAACTTCCTTATCGTCAACATAATCAGCATTTATCGGGGCCAAATCGCTAGGCAAGTCATCATTTTCCACCTCAGAAAGGCAGTGGGATTTTTCCAACAGAGGCTTAGCACAGCATTCCTTCAATTTACTGGAGACTGATTCTTGATTTTCACACATGTACTTGGCAAGATCCGCCTATAAACAAGTTGATGAAAATTATTCAATGTAAATTGACATCACTATACTTTTTCTCCAGACTTTTATTATGTTGGCAGAAAATGTCCATTGTATTTTAAGACCATATACATACCTACCTGCCTTCTAGTAACATTTTCAGTCTATGATGCTAAATCTGGAGACTCAGATAGTACTATTAAAATATTTCCACTTGATTAAAAACTAGTTAGTAAGAGGGGCCCATATCAGTTATTTATTAATTTTATATTTCTACTGTTAAGGCATTTAAGTTTTTAAATTAAAACTCAATTATAGGTGGTTGGGTGAAAATGATGAAGGGATTAAGAAGTACAAAGTTGTAGTTACAGAAGAGTCACAGAGATGTAGATTACAGCACAGGGAATATAGTCAATAGTGTCATAAAGGCTATGTGTGGGAAACATCAGGGGGCCACTCTGTACTATAAATTACATGATTTTCTAACTACTCTGTTGTACATCTGAAATTAATATAGAATAATATTAAATTTAAATGGGAATTGAAAATTATATATATATATAAATTATTGTTTTTCCAAATATTCCTCAAAATTAAGTACAGGCATTTTGAAACCAAATAACTAAATAAAATTGAGGGATTTGGGGAAAATTAGTCAAGAATCGTAGTCACAGGTCCTACTTACACATGTAAAATATCTGCCTTAAATTTTCCAGAAAGTGTTCTGAGAGATGAGGATTCTGCTATTTGGTCATATGTTTATGTTTTGGGGAAAGATAGCATGCTAAATATTTGTATATTAAGGGAGAATATATAGAAAAATTACATAATTTCTAAAGTTCTCTTCTGGTACCAGCTCTTATCCAACTCTACCCACATCCCAAAAAAATCTTAGAAGTCTACCTTTGCAGCTGTCCTACTTAAGTTTAATCCTTTATTCTCAGTTAGAATGTGACTGAAAGGCACTACAAACTAGTGAATGTATTTATTATATCATTTTGTGAGTGGGATAGGCAGGTTTATTAAAAATAAATAATGTACCACAAGGCAGGGAATTTAGCATATTAGACATAGAAGACAATTTCAATGCACAGTCAGCTGTCACCAATTATACGAAACAAATTCATTGAACCAACTGAAGCATGTTACCAAAGCAAAGTTACCAAAGAGAATCCTAAGGATCCCTTACCCTGTCATCTGCACATTCAAGCAGGTCACCCTGGCAGCATTCTTTGTGGATTTTGGTAAGATCATTCACCATCTTGGAAACCTCCATAAAGTCAGCATTGGGAAATCTCTGGCTCAGACGAGCTACAGACCTAAAAAGAAAATTCCCCATTAAAACTTTATTTAAACATGCAATACTTTATGTGAAAGCATTAGAAAAATACTACTTATAACAAAAATTAGGACAAAATGAATATAGAAATAACTTGTAAAATTTATTAGTTCTTATTTTAATGCTAGTTCTACACCAAATTGTTATCTTAGGGTAAAATGTTTCCTTGAGGCAGAATTATCCATTATGGGAGTGTGTGGCGAGTAGAAAGAAGTCAGCAATTCATAAAATCAGAACTCAAAGAGGGATGCTGAAAAAGGTGACACCTGAGAAGCATCCCGTTTGGAGCCCATTTCCGACTCCCAGATCTGACTTTATTGCTTATTAGCGTGTGAGCCTGGGCAAGTTACTTAGACCCTCCGAGCTTCAGCCCTGCAGAGTCACAACAACATGCAACATCAAAGGGCATGGTGAGAATTAAATTACTTGATGTATATGAAAGCATTTTATAAACTGGAAAGGGCCATACAAACTCCAGTTATCTTTTTTTACCAACTAAATAGACTTCTTCCTGATTTCTGAAGGACTCTGGAAAAAGAAATTTCACAACTTTTGCAAATTACAGAATTTAACATATTTTTACCAAGAAATTAATCCAGCACAGTTTCTTAGCCCGATGACAAGATGTAAAAGGCTAATATCCACGGGCCTTCACAAATCATTTCAGAGTTGCCTAAATCTGATAAAAGATACTTCTTCCCCAAAATCAGTCATAGCCTGTCTAAATGTGCATTATTTCACACTGGGGTAGTTTTGTTTAATCATTTCTTTGATTTTGTTGTGTAGATGATAAAGGCAACAGGCAAAGATAGTTCACATGATGGTTTCTAGACACCTTGCAAAATGTCTATTATTTTCATTTTATCCTCTGTTCATGTTGATTCACTGTTGACTAGCAAGTGAGGGAATTGGGACGGGGTTGGGGCTTCTTGGCTCATGTTGAAGGATACTCCTAGAACCAGCGAAGTTATATAAAAATAGAGGCCCAGGCAAATGTAAGAAATTAAGAACACAGCTGGAGCTATGAGAAAATGAGAAGTGACCTTGATGGCTGAATTTAATTACCAGAACATAAAAAACAAGCAGACGGTTTCAGATAATTGCAGGGGGTGGGAGATAAAATAAAATAACAGACCCTGACTACAACTGCATAAAAATATAATCCCTATTAGACAGCAAATAATTGTTAGCAAATAATCCCTTTCTAATATAATCCCTATTAGAAAGGTGAAGAGATTAAGTACAAATTGGTTGTTACAGAATAGTCACAGGGATATAAAGTACAGCATAGGAAATATAGTCAATGATATTCTAGTAACTATGTATGGTACCAGGTGGGGCTGAGATTTATAGGGATGATCACTTAGAAAGTTATGTAATGTCTAATCACTGGAGTACATGTGAAACTAGTAAAATATTGCATGTCAGCTGTAATTGAAATATATAAAAATTATTTTTAAAAAGGATAAGATCCCTAGTCTTTATAAACAAATGGGAGTTCAAATACCTGTGACAGAATAACAAAGAAAAGATAGCCTCTAAATTTTTTACTACCGCCGGGGCGGGCGTGGCTCAGCGGTTGAGCGTAGACCTGAGATCCAGGCCATCGGGGTTCTATTCCCGCTCAGGGCACATGCCCGGGTTGCGGGCTCGATCAATGACTCTCACTCACATCATTGATGTTTCTGTCTCTCTCCCTCTCCTTTCCTCTCTCTGAAATCAATAAAGATATATTTAAATAAATAAATTTTTTACTACCTTGAAAAAATACAATAAAAAATAATGATAAATTGTCTTTTAGGCTCTGATTTTTCACTTCTGCTAAATTTCTACCTGTCAGACAACCAGAAAGAACTGTGTAAAACTCGTATAAATGTTCCTCGGCTGGGTGGCTGAGTCAGTTGGAGCATCATCCTGTCAACCAGAGGGTTGCAGGTTTGATTCGGGGTCAGGACGCACACCTAGGTAGCAGGTTTGCACTTCAATACAGATGGCAACTGGTCCATGTTTCTCTCTCTCCCCCTCACTAAAAAAATCAATAAAAACATATCCTCGGGTGAGAATTAAGAGAAAAAAACTCACATAAAAATACAGTTTTGTCAACTGAACCATTATCATTATAAACTACAAAGCTAAATTTGAAATACCATGCTTTGAAAGCTCTATCTCCGAATTTTTGGAGACTGGAGCACTTCATTCTCTGTTTGACAGCTGAAGTCAGTACTCTTTCCTTCAGAGCATCCATCTGCAAAAAGAAATAATTTTGAAAATATTTTTTTAAATTCTACATGAAATACTTCTTCATAAATTCAGATGAGACTATGACAAATTACATCTTAAAGATACAACCTACACCTATATTCCCAAGTGCTCATTGTTAGCAAATAATTATTTTGCTATGTATTTAGAGAAAAACTCAGCCTGGTCGTAGTGGAAGCCCCCAGGCAGTGTAGAACCAGCATGTGGGCATTGCCGGGAAAGGGGAGCTGGAGGGAAAGGTAGAAGAACAGACTACACTAATATCCCAGGGAATATAATCCTACTGACTTCTTAATTTTGCATAATTTCATTTCAATCCCTCCTTCACCAGCTCTCACATCAATAAACTCCCTAGAAAAGATGACCAGGACGTAATAAATATTTATGGAATGAATGAATAAACCCAGGCTTCTAGATGCAGTGAACTTCTCCACTTTGAATTCCTTCCCCAACAGGAAAGGCTCATGAAAAGGTAAACAAAACCTGTGGCCCTTTGCTGTGCAATTTTACAAACGAGTTTCTGTATTTCATACAAAAAGAGGAGGGATATTTAGATACATACACAGTGACTCCCTCTATCAGATCCACGGGGCAGAACTTAGAGGGGGAATGACGATGTCATGGGCCTTCCAAGGGGGTGAAAATCTTTGGGTTGGATGAGAGTAAGGAAGGCTTTTTTCACCAGGTAAAGAAGTTTGTATCAGAGACTTAGGTTCCCTACACCGAGCCCCAGATCTGAGGCTGGAGTCTGAACTGGTTCTCGTCTTCCTCTGCTGGGACATACCTTTGGTCCCAGGCAGGCAACTTTATCAGCAGCTTCACAGCATT